AGTTAAAAGGAATTCGGCTCCAGGTATGTATGGCTAACTTTGACCTTTGTAAAATCACCTTGTTTGGTGTTTGAGTGCTTGGTATGTGATTTCTACGTGGATTGTCTGTGAAATTCTTGTAATTGGTACGGTTGAGTGTTTGTGGTTATGTCTTTCGATAAGGTGGTATAAGTAATTGGCAATGAACCAAGTATGTGATTGTGAATCTGCTATGTGGTAAGAATTGTGAAACAAATGATGGAAGGAAATAGTAATTGATGCAATTGGAACGACTGTGGTAATAACATATATGGCTTGTCGTGGGCAATTATCGTTGTGACATAAAATGCATATGAGTGATTGAATATGATGGAAATGGTATTGATGGTTATGGAAATTCTTTGTGAATTGTTGTTGTAGTTCTTGAGAATTGTTGTTGTTGTTATTTGTGAATTACTGTTATTGTTGTTGTGAAATGATATTCTGGATGGCCTGAAGCCATGTGATTGAACTGTGGACTATTGTTATTGTGTGAAATGTGATTGTCCGGTGGGATCGGGTTGCGCACCGCAACACAAAACGATAAATTGTGGGTTGGGGTGATAAGGGTGGCCGAGGTAATAAGGGTGGAAAAGTTATCGAAATCACTATTGAAATGAACATATGTGAAAGTTGTGAAATCATTGATGTGATGAGATGATATCGGAAGGGAAAGGAGAGATTGTGAGACGTTTGACTTTGGTTGTTCCTTTCATGTACATTTGATTGTGGATTCCATTACTACTTGTTACTTGTGTATGGTTTGAGTTTACTTGGGGTAAAGTTTGTTCATACATACTAGTACAATTCAAATGTACTGACGTCCCTTTTGCCGGGGGCGCTACATTCGTGTTATGATTGTAAGTGGATCTATAGCAGGTACTGCAGTCCACCGTCTGTAGCATTCCTTCACTTTCCGTCAGTTGAATTGGTGAGCCCCTTTCCTCTCGGGGCCCTGTGTGGCTCATGCTGCTTTTGTTCCGGAGTCTTGTTTTGGTATTTGTGTAAGGTATAGCCGGAGCCTTGTTACCGGCAAGTATTGTATCATCCTTTTGTATCCTTAGAGGCTCCGTAGACAGGAAATGTGGGTTGTGAACTTATGTAACATGTATTTCGGTATGTTGGGCAATGTAAGTTGTAAACTGCGCTAAGTAACCATGTTGATTATTGTATATTTTGTGAAAAGGTATTTTAACTATAATGGCTATTTCTTTTGATTAATGAGTAATGGAAACACGGGGTATCACGTGGGATAGGAAAGGCACCCAGGTCCGCTTGGCTGGGGCTACCCGGTCGAGTGCCGGTCATGTCCCTCGACTTGTGGGGCGTGACACCCAGCGCCCAAAAAGCGAAAGTAGGGAGAAATCTCTTCACGGCAATCCAAAATAAAACAGGTTGTTGAGGCATCACAGCAAGCTCCATTACCCCCACGGCCTCGGTTGAAGCTAGTATCTGATGCAGTTATTGCATGGCACAGGGATTTCGTGCCATATGGGTGGTATGTCTCCGAGATGGGGATCAATATCAAAGCTTTGGAATGAAACTTCCCAGATGTCCTCAGCCAATTACGAGCATTAAAAATGGACAAACTCCTAGAATGCCCTGGACACAAAAATTTGAGCATGGTTAGGGAATTATATGCTAATTGGAATTACAACTTGTCTAGATCACATGTACGTGGTGTGAATATGCCATTGGATAGGAGGGCATTATGTGATTTTCTGGGGGTTGAGAATGTTGCCCCGAGGAGGCTCCAAAAATTTACCAAGAGCCCCAAAAACACCTTGATATGTCATACTCTTTGTGGCGTGGATTCCAATGCAAAGTGGATCAAGAAGCACAGCGATTTTCACCTCTCAATGGTTCGCTCTGATTTTAACAAGACTGCCAAAGTGTGGCAGAATTTTGTGCAAGCCCGACTCATTTCGGTGGAGCACAGCACCGACTGCACTCGAGCTAGAGTGTGTGTCATATCCTTCTTGATGACTGGCAGACCTATTAATATGGGTGAGATTATGCTCGGTGAGGTGGCCCACACAAGTTTTGGGCGGCAAATTAAGAGGTTTTTTTTGGAAACCTACTCACCCGATATATGCTCTCCCAGGAGGCGCCGGAGTATCCTGGACAAGATGAGGTGGTGGAGGCTCCGTCAGGGCTTTTGGACATCACATATCTATTGGAGACATCATCAAAACTCACCCCCGCAGCATGGGTTGAACGAGATGAGAACTTCAACAAGTACCTCTATAATTCTCTGAATTTACTCATGAGGAGGGCTAGTATTTCAGACGAGGAGCGAATGCATTTACGCAATGACTTGTCAAGTTCGTCCAAGGAGATGTTGGGGATTGCACCTGGCAGCCTCGTTCACTCATCGAAGGACGTCAACATTGTCAAGGGCTCGGACTCAGAGGACGAGGTTGTTGATGATATTACAGGGCCCATGGCTTTGGTGCCCTTGGGACCGGATAATGATGTGCCCAGAGCTGCTGCTGGAGGGCACGTTGAGGAGGAGGACTCCGACTGACAAAGAGTTTTCTTTTCACCCTACTCTGTTTTATATTTTTATATGCATCGAGGGCTATGCATAGTTTAAGTGTGGGGTGGGAAGAATACTACCTGTGTTGTAACTGTATATCTTGTATCAACTTGTTTTAATTTGTTTCTTTTAGTAGTTTTAATGTGTTTATTTTATTGTTTCTTTTATTATTATTATTTAGTGTAGGTTGTTTTTCTTAGTCTAGTTTTAGTTTAGTTGCTTTAAACAAAAGGAAAAAAAAGAAAAAAAAAAGAAAAAAATTGAAAAAGCTCAGACTTTTTCCTACGATGGATCTTTTGGAAAATTTTCTTGAGGGATAAAGTCCGATTAAAAACACCAAAAAGGTTTTTTTTTATATAGTTAGGTAGTATTCCTTGGTTTTTCTTTGGGCGCCGGTTCTTTTCCAAGGATGTAGCTCGAACCGGGTACTTGATTTTTCCTTTTTAGGAGTAGTTTAGGAAGAAACTGAGTTGCTCTGAGAAACTCATTGACATGGTTGATGCCGGAACATTAGGCTATGGCATACATTCCATCTTTCCGTGTGTTTGGTTTGAATTGTAAAGTCTAAGTAAAGTAAATAGCCTATTTTGTGACGCTTTCTCTCGGTTGTTTGACTTGTATGCTACATAGTGCAATATTGCTTAAATTCCTCAATCATGTGCAACGTGTGTGTGAGGATTTGTGGTA